TTTTTTTTTTCTAATCCTATCATAATTTTTATAATTGTGTACTCTATATTTTAAAAATAATCCTGAGACATGATATACTTTCATACTAAAGGTCTATCAACAGTGCAAATTTTAAAATTTAAATTGAAGCTTCTCAGGACTAGAAAGTGAGCTGTCTTGGTAGTGGGTGGTAAAGGACATGGCAGGAAAGGTCAGGCCCTCCAGTATCTTAAGACAAGATGGTCATTAGCTGGCTTTACAGAGCTCTCTTTCCTCTCCCTAGCATACCCACCCTTGCAACACTCTTCATTTTCCTTCCCTGGCCCATGACTTCCCCCTTTCCATCCCACCCAGCATTCATATCCACCAAGATACAGGAATTGTTTTCCTTGTTAAGTGAAACCACTATACAGATTCCTATTATTTCCGCAGAACATCTGGTTTGCAAATGAAAAGATCTCAGGGGCACAGCAGCACAGAGAGAACAATTCTGAAGAAGCTTTTAACAAAAACTTGAAATTGCTTAACAAAAAAATGAAAAAAAAAATCAACTCCCCTTCCTGCTGTTCTGTGGCACACAATTTCTTCACTCAAAGAGGAGATGACATTAAAAAGTAAGACTGCTTTATTATGGCTCCACTGTTTGGGCCTTCTAGCTTTAGTTCTCTTCCCATCTACTTCTCTCATCCCTAAGAAATGGGAGTTTAATTAAAACAAAAGATAGATGAAAATCAGGAAACCAGAAGAAAACAAATTTCGGTGTTTAATTTCCAATACTTATTTTTGCTTTCAGTACATTTCAAGTAAGTTAAAAGAAAGAAAGTCACCTATATTTAATATATATTGGCCAATGCAGCACAACTATGAAATGAAATTGTCAGGGGAATTCCTTACCTGCCCTGGTGTCTAGATTTAATGTACCTCCATAACACAGACTGAAGGGGAATTCAATTAAGAAAACCCGTTGGCTCCTTATTGACTTTAGTTAAGAAAATAAACTGGGAGAAAGTGTATTAAAATATGTCTGGACTGCTTAGTATGCTTTCATTTAAGCTTATGGCAATCAGAATGGGAGAATTTAAATTCTTAACAATTAAGCTCTGCTTCTGAGTAGATTGGGTTCTCTGGGCTATTCCACTGCGGTTCTCTGGGCTATTCCACTGCGCGTTTTTAAATGTAGACCCTGCTCTCACACACCCCAAAACATAGCCGTGCAGCAAATCTGTGTATTGTAAAGCAGTAGCACCTCAGATCAATGGGGAAAGAGAAAGTGTTTAAGATTGTGAATTTAATTTTGTTCTAGGATTTTCATTTTCATTTATGGCACCCGTTGTGTTTGAGACCACAGACTAATTTATGGATTAGTTTTAAACCCCCAGTCTGTCACACTCAGTGAACAATTCTAAGTTGGAGAGAATCCATATGAAAGGATTAGAATGTGCCACAGTGGAGCTTACACATGACTGTTTCAACTGAATATTGCCCAGCTGCCTCTCTTGCAGTAATTTATTTTTTATTTTTTGCTAGTTGGTTAAATGACCAGTATCTCTGATCTCACACGTCAGAACTTTTTTTCTGTTCTCCATTTTGTAATATCCTACGCTACCACATGAGATATATGTGGTGTTTCCTTTATTAAAGATAGGGTGGTGTAAACTGGAGGGCTGAGACTGAGAAGTCAGTATTTAGTGAAATGTACATCTTTCCAATAACAGTACAGGATCCTTCCATGGATTTCTTGTGTAATTGTACTCATAAAACAGCTATAAAGTAACTTCTGAGACCCTACACACTTACTGGCTTTGCAAGAACAGTGTTTTTGTTGTTGTTGTTGTTGCTGCTATTGACCATATAAAGTAAATGTGCAATGAATTTGTCCTTATTATAATTAAGAGTAAAACAGACATAATAGCTCAGCTAGGCCTTTTTAGTTTCATAACCCAATACTTCCACAAATCCAGCTCAACTTTTTGTGACCTATTTTTCTTACAGGCCTACCTCAAAGATTATTTTTTTTTAAGAAAGCAGCAAAATTAGGTTTAAAAAAGCCTTTGTTGGCGCAATTAGACACTCTTCATTTTTCAAGCTGATTACAGCATTTATAACTTACACTGGAAATTTTTTTTTGCATTTCACCTACCCACTCAGGATATTCTCAGACAGTATGGTGACCTCACAGCTTGACTTAGAGGGCTAGGCTTGCACATTGCTTCAGCTTCTGATTAAGACACTCTAATAAATCCTACTTCATGAGCTGCACTCACTTTGGAGCCCGGGTGTCTGTGGTTTCTGCATGAAGTCATAATGTAATTACGGAGGCGAATGAGAGTCTGTCATAGTGCTCTCCTACGGGGAGCGCAAAGTCATTTCAAAATAACTTTTCCTTAATTCTTTCCTTGAAATAGCCTCTGTTCAGGTAGCATACCAGGTGCTTTAAAAGACACTGAGTCAGTGGCTCTCCCAATATACCCCAGTCTCGGTCTAAACTCTGTAGCCCACTGTGTCTCCGTTGCAGTCTCTCATCCATTGCTGCTCATGGGTTTGCCTTCCCCAGCTACAATAACTGTGCTGTGTGACTTGAACCTGTGTTTTCATAACTGTTTTAGAACGTGTTATTCCTTCTAAATGTCTTTCTTTTTTTCTGCTTCTTGTGGGTGCAGTTGATGGATTTCCTATCTCCAGAGTGGAGAAACAGGATGCACTATGAACTTGCCTCCATTTATTTCTAGTACCCACTTAAGAGTTGATGCCCAGCTTCACTCGGTTTAATTTTGTCATAAAGCTGATATAATGTTGTGATGCAGGAAGACAGTAAATTGGAGTCCTTGGTTAATGCTCAGATATTATGTTTAAAGAATCTAACCCTGAGGTTTTATTCCACCATTCTTCTTTTGTTTTATACTAATTTACTTGGTGAAAGTAAAATATACTAGAAGTGCTGCCACAGAAATAATGAGCCTAAGCATTTGCTGCTTTTTTTTTTTTTAATTTTGGAAAGGAGCCAGTACCTACCCATAAAATGTATTAAGGTTCATAGAACTGTTTCTGTACAAATGTGCATTTGATCTTGCCCTTCAAATTTAAAATGCCTCAAACTAATGCTGCACTTAGATGTTTCAGTTAAGGAGACATATCAGAACTTGTCATGAGTATCTGAAAAACCTGGTATAGAATGTTGTTTCAATTGTACAGTTTCCTGTATTGTGTCTTACTGCTATTTTATGCACACAGACTTGATTTGTAAGTATTGTGTTCTTATATGGTGTATTTTATGTTTTTCTTTCCATTATGTATTCTTAAGAAATTCAGCTGTCAGTTATATTGAGCTGCATTGGCTTCTCAGACTTCTGGTTATCCTGGCTCCTTAGCAGGGCTCTAAGTCTAGGATGCAGAGGAAAGCATGCCAACTGAAGGGAAATGCTGGTGTGAATTCATGTGTCATGTTAATAAAATCAGAAGCTCTAGGCTCATTGGACATCTGCACTCGGCCAGGAAAAAAATTACATTTGAAGTTCCAGTGCATTTAAACATTGCCTGTGTCAAGTCCAAAAGTCTTTAGAAGTCTCCAGAACTCATGAAAACAATCACCAACTAAATATCTACATTAAAACAATAATAAAAATGCCAGGGAACCACACACAGTTTTAACCCCCAACACCACTTTGCCTACCACCTTTCAATTAGAGATGACTGCCTCATGTCTTACTGTTACCAGACCTTCTGGCTGGAAGAGGGAAGATGCTTAAGAGCAGTAAAAATGAAAGTGAATGAAAGCATGGCCAGATGTGTTGACTTGGGAATGAAGTTGGCGCCAAGAGCAGTATTAAAATAACTCCAGGGGAAAACAAAATGTCTTCATGCATTTTGTTAGATATTTATCCCACCTCTTCTTTAGCCAAAAATAAAGAGACAATTCCTTGAGCTGTTTGGAGCAATTTCCTGTAAAGAGAAGTGAGTACAGCAGGCTGGATTGAAAAGCCTGGTAGACGAAAGGAAATTTGAACAGTGTCAGAAATAGAAGAAAGAGACGAGCCATATTTTCATCCCCAGCAAGTGCATCCAGCAGTGAAAATTAAATAAGTAAATGACTGCTCCATCTTCTAATCCAGCCACGAGGGGATTACTTCTGGCCACTCACACCAGTGAATGTGGTTCTAAATTGTGAGAAGAGGATGACTGGCTACATTTTTGGGATGTCCCATAATTAGAAGTAGCATTTGACAGTTTGTGTGGGTTTATGTGTTTTCACAGAAAGCCTCTGCTCTTAGATTGTAACATACAATTAAGAGCTACAGAATGAGGAATGAATGGATGTTTGTGTGTGTGTGTGTGTGTGTGTGTGTGTGTGTGTGTGTGTGGAAACTAATCTGTGAAAACCTGAAGATGTTCATTCTAATGGCCTCCCAGATAATTGAACTTTCCAGCTACACTCTGCTAAAATAATACAGTGGATGGAAAACCTGAACCTGTGTGTTGCATATTCATCTACAGGCATCTGAGCATAAGCAGTAAAAGGATCCTGGAAGCACTATTGATTCAGTGATGCCTAATTGGCAGTGGAGAAGGCCAAGTGGCGGGTGGATTGGGTTAAAACAAAGGCAATGTTTGAATGTATGAATCCGTTGTTTAACCAGCCTTCCGACTGAGCTTTTCTGTCACAGTCCTGAGCCTTGATGCGTTAAGAGCCATCTCCCAGCCACTGAGTTTGCACTGGTGTTTCTCATCACTTTGCATGTTCCCCTGACTATTGACTAGCAAATATACGTGTCCTGGCAAGACCCCCAGAACCAAAAAATTTACTGTTTTCCTCACTGGCTCGCAGCTTTGGGCTCAAGGCATGTCTTAAAACAGTGCAACTCACTTCAAATGCTTTTTGCTTTTCATTTATTACTGCTTGTCACGCGATGTTCTTTGAAAGCTTGCTCATATATTATCTGTTCCATTTTTTTCCATTTTCCCTTTTTTTGCATGCCGTTCCTCCTGTTTCTTCCCTTCCTCCAATCCTCTGTTCCTGTCTGTAGACACAACGGCGACGACAGAACCAGCAGTTCACGGTTGGTATCACATTACTGTTTATCTACTTTCTCAGCACTGCTGAGAGGCAAGGCAAGCCTGGGAAAAAGAGAAATGTAGTCTTCAAGGGAAATCACGTTTCAAGTAGACTGAGCTCATAAATATACTATAATTTCTAAAGGCTTGAAAGGTTTTCTAGTCTTGTCATTTTGGTTGTGAGTTCAGAAGCCAGTGGTTGCAGCTTGAGATGAGGCCCACTCCTCGCTGCCTGGCCGGCATAACAGTTTAGTTGTACATATCCTCCTTGTTAATAAAACTCTGCCAAATCTGGAAATACAGGAGACTAGGAAAAATTCTGATATTTTCTTAAAAAGCTTAACGTCTGAATTAAAGTCCCAGTTGCTTTCTTTATGTGTGGACTATAGTCCCAGGGAAATTTTAAAAGGGAGTCATTGGCTTCACTTAGGAACAGAAGTTGAAGATCAGGGATGAGACTGAAAAGTCAAGGAGGAAGATGCCTGTTTACATTCATGAGACGATGAGGAGGTCAGTGGTCTTCGAGAAGATGATGACTTTAATTATGTGCCCCACCCCTCACCTATGCAGTCTTAATCTCTAAGTTTATGCTTAAATTTGTCAGGAAACTTCTCCAACCAAGAATGCATCGATTTGAATAGCATTAACTGCGACTGTTAAAAAGTCATTGATGTGTGAGTCCCTTGTTGGCAAAATTTTAAAAGATGGTTTTGTTTTTAACCAAAATAACTAAATAAATAAAGCTCAGATGGGAACATGTTTTTCCCTATCTCACCAAAGACTTACTGGATTGGAATAAGTCTATTAACTTTTCTCTATCTTTCTAATCAAAAAATGAGAATCATGTTTCATCTGCATATTACTTAGCTCAAATCTAACCCTAGAAAGATTGTGCTTAGAGAAAGATATGTTAGTTTAAAATGGGCTGAATTTTAATAATTGAATCCAAGGGAATCATTTGGTAAAGGGCCTACTTCAATCACTGTGCATGTTGTGCAGAGTGGAAATTTATCATTTAAATGACAAGAGGTGATCAGCCAACCCTGAAGTATTAATTCAACTTTTAGAATAATGTCTGGTAGCCCAGATAGACTTCCTTAAAGAGACCTACCTTTGCTAACTAACCAGTTGGAAATCTCTAGGCAAAACCCCTGTGAGCTGTCTTTAAAGCTCAGGCCTTGGTCAGTGTTGGCAGATTGTCCCTGTGTTTGGACTTTGCAGTGGGAAATTCTGAAAAAGCAAAACAAACTTAGAAATGGAGTCATAGGTCCCTCCCACCCCAGCCCCACTTCACTCTGCCCTTCTGTTAATGCAGAGGGACTGGGTTCAACTCTCAGTAACACACCAAACAAAAGAAAGAGGAAGAAAGGGAAAGAAAAAAAGTTAAAGGGAACAGGTACACTGACAATCATGAGAAATCAATTAGGTATAAAACATCCACTTTCTAAGGTAATGCCCCATAGTACTTACTATGTCTCAGACACTGCGCTCCATTAAGCTTAGTTATTTGTGTGTTTCATCATTAATTGAGTACCTCCTGACTCCTATCGATTATTCTCGGAACTTTAAGGTTATTTTAATGTAGTTCAAGAGATTTTGTTCTATTCTTTTTAAGATACTTTTAAGTTCTGAGCTTCCTATAAAGAACTACAGGGTCAAGGATAAACCATAAGATTCCTGAGTTCTATGACACTTTGAAGATTCATCATTTATATCCTAAAGCTTCAGAGTTTTATTTTCTTGCCCCTTCAGTAAAGTTCAAATACTTATGTTTTTGGAGCTGACTTTACCCTTAAAGGACTAGACAGGGTATTCAAAGTGGGAAATATGTTCCCTGGCCTGAAAAAATAACAACTGGACTTGGAGACTGATCCAGATTTTAAGGTACCTTTTTTCCCCAATATTAGGGATTGAACCAAGGCCTTTGCACTAAGGTACACCCCTAATTCTTTTTTTTTTTTAATTTTGAGGCAGGGTCTTAGTGAATTGCAAATGCCCTGCTGGACTCAAATTTGGGATCCTCTTGCCTCAGCCTCCCAGAGTACTGGAATTATAAGCATGTGCCACCATATCTGACTTAGAATACTATTTTAATTAGGTCTTTCTCTTTGAAGAAAGAGAAGGGGAACATGATCTCTCTCTCTCTCTCTCTCTCTCTCGTGTAGTATGATGAAGTGATGCATGGAGTAGGACCTGATAGTATTCCTGTGACAGGAAACAGATGTTTATGTACTGTGAGAAGCAACTACAGTCTTAGCAGTTTGAACACAACATTCAAACCAGTGATACTTTAGTAGGATATTATTAAAGGGCATGAAAATTTGGGGGCAAAAGCAGGAAGAACAGTCTTACTGTATCCTACATTTCTTTCATACTTTAAATTGGACTCCTTAACAGCAGAGGAATAGAGAAGTGATAGATAATCCAAGCTGATCCCTGTATAATGCATTTATAAATACATTCTTCAACTTGTCCAAAATTCTCATAGCATCTTCACAAAGGGCTCTCACCACTATTTTGAACAGCACTCTCTGGCCTTTAGCAGAAAGCTCTAATGAAAACCAAAGTAATATCTAAGATTTTACTTGATGGAAAGGAGAAATCTTCCAGGTCAGTTGTCAGGATAGAAAGGTAATAGAACATGGTAGAAATGATAAAGAAGGTGATCAGATTTCCATGAAATGACAGTATAGAACTGATTTTATTCTAGTGCACTGTGGCTAAAAATCCAGCTTCTTCAGAACAGCAACCATTTGACTTACATTCATTTAATGATAACCTTGAGATGTCCCTTATGGTGATCTGGGTCTAGAAAAAAAATGTTAAGTGGCTTGATAACTTAGCAACTTAAATGACAAGACATTAGGTCAGCCAGCTATAACCATCTCACTGTTCTTAAAAGTTGTCATAGTATATTTCCTCCCATATTACTCTTTCCTTTCATACAAAAGAAAAGAAACTGTTAAAGATTTCCCTTTGAAGACTCATTAAAATATTTTATTCAAGCTTGTGTTGCTAGAGTATGTATGAAGTTTATACTAGTTGTTTATGTATGTTGACCTTTGTTCTTACCAATATCTCTGATTGGAATAAGCATGTATTGGAAGGTTAGAAGTGCATGGGCATGACTCAAAATCAAATGGATTTTCTCCAAAAAGAAAAGCAAAGAACAATCAGCCACAAAGTGTTTTTAAGGATCTAACTGATGGTAAAGATAAATGTGAGTGTAAGAATGAGATTTTTTTTTAGATTAGGCTGACACAAGGGATCTACTTTGAATAAGGATCTTGAGTATTTGTGTTTTTGGAGCTCATCCTTAAAGGCCTGGACAGGAAGAATCCTGTGTTATGTGTGCATGTTGAGCAATGCAAAAACAAACAAACAAAAAACCCAAAACAACAACAAAAAAACACTGCCAAATCCTGATTCCACATGGTCTGAAATTGATGGCGGAAATGCATGAGTGATTTAATGCACGGGTGGTATAGTTGTTCCTATGGTTATTGATGTGTGGGTGCGTGTGATGGTTTTTGTTCGTTCAAATGTGGGCGCTTCTCTGTAAGTGTCTTGTGCCTTGTTCTTTTTTTGCCCTGTGTGTCCCTCTTCCCTTTTCCCACCCCCCTCCGCCATGTGAGGGGTCAGGTGACAGCATGCCTTTGGTCTGGAATAGTGCTTGTGCTTTTGCTGCACTGCAGTCAGCTGGCTTCCTCTGGGTTTGAGTCAGTCTCTCGCTTTCTCTCTCTCCTCTCTTATCTACTGTGCCCTCTTGCCTTCTCTACCTCTTGATACAGAGAGGCTGATGATCTCATGAATTTTCATATCCCAAAAGAGTTCTTAAATAGATCTTAATTCAGTCTATAACTGGAAACCCCTCTGACGAACAATTTTTCACTTTCAGTTTTGGTTTCAAAATGTTTGACCAGTGCTAGAAACATGCTTATGCCCTGAACTGCTGCCCTTAGGTAACTGCCTCATGAATCTTCCTTTGCTTGACAACTTTATGAGTAGTCCAAACCATGATAGAATTCTAAAAGCACATGACATTTCCTTATCTTAATATTCAATTGTGGGGAAATTCTTAAACCCATTTTAAAGAAAATAGCCAGCAGTGCGCATTATTACAACCGCTATGTCCACCATTTGTGTATGTTCCTCTATGTACATCTCTCTGTATGAGTACATAACAATGGCATTCAGAGGCTGTCATTCAGTCAAGGGACTCTGCAGACATTGCATGTTCTACCCAAGAACAAAGCTAAAGAGGTTTACGAATGGCTGCAGGACCTGAAGATTGCGTTTCAGCCTTGATAATGCAGTTTGGAAACAATGTGCTACTGTTTAACGGCGTGAACCAAATTTCTGCTAATGGGAAGAAGGGGAAAACTCCACAAAAGCTGACAAAGCAGGAAGAACAGGATGACTGAGCTTTTAGATTAAAACTACCGGGGGCGTCTGAACTCTTATGGCTGGTGATGGAAGTAACAGTTTCCATAATATGGCCAAGTGATCAGATGTATGCTGCTTAGGTAAGAGAGAGACCGTCGCCTACTTTGTTTTTCATAGTGGGAATGGTACCAGGACCACTGGGCTAAGTTTTTGTTTCCTGGAGGTTTTAATTTGATTGTACTTCTTTTGAAATTTTCTGAAACGGTGATATCCTGATGAACCGAACCCAGACATATTTAAATTTTACTTGACCTTGAATTTACTGAAATGCCTAGGACTTGGTAGAGTTTCTAATTTTTTGAGGATTTCCTTCCCCTGGCTTAAAATTGCCACCTGATACCACTTTGAGAAGCCAGCAATTACTGTGGAAAAGGAGGAGTTGCAACTGCAGAGACACTGAGAAGGCTTAGGGTTTGTCACAGCATATTGTAACCACGAGAAAGCAAAATACACAGCTCTGCAGAAGAGATAGCCATTGCGCATGTACGAAAATACCCTGTTGGCACTTTAGAACTTCCTTAATTGCTTCAAAAAATCCCATATGGACAAAAAGTAAACTTTCATTTGTTTAACAAAGTTTAAAGAAATTTGTTGAATGCATTTTAATTAGAAGTGATTAGAAAGAGCTTTAATGGATGATACAAAAGTTTAAAGAGAAGAACCAAGAAGTAATTTCTCACTTATTGTTAAAATGTGAAGTTTCCTTTCAAAGAATATTCTCGGCTTCACAAAATGTATCTTTGTCTTTTTCTTTGTGAAAATGAGAGGTGTATGATTTTTTAACATGAAAAAAATGCCTAGGCCACAGCCATTGTAGGAGGTACATTTTATTTGTCCTCACTTGTACACCAGTGCTTCACTAAGTTCCTCCTAATTATATTTATTCAGAAATTATCCAATTATGGCAGAGCACTATAGATTCATTAAAGACAATAGTCTTGCAAAAACAAATTTAACGCCACTAGCCTAAATGCTTTCCCACTTCAGAACATAATCTGAGCAGCAGATTCCAGATGATTTGGTATATTTTAAAGTTTATGCCATTAAAAATGACAGTTTCATCTTTAATGAGGTGTATATCAACTGTCTGTCGCTTCTTAATGGAAAACTTTGCATATCAATGATATTCCATAAACATATTTGTCTTTATTTTTAAAATTAGCTTTCTAAAACTCTCCCAAGGAAACCACCTCCAGCAGTAAAGCTGCCTACTTGAAACTTCCTTGCTTAATGTGGTTCAGTGATACATAAGCACAGGGGTACAACACTTTGATATTAGTTGGGCCACGTAGAAGTGAGAGATTAGCCTTCTGAGAACTGCAAATTCATAATTAAGTACAAAGAAGTAGTTTACATTCTCTATTTGTAACAGTTATTTGAACAGTTGTGTTCATCAGTCTTTATACAATAGGTAACGCCAATTAGAAGGCGGAACACTTTCAGCCAATCAGGTTTCAGAACAAATGTGCAGCATCCCTACTCGTTTGGCCTGTAATTTGTTCTGACTTGCTGCTTTGCCTTAGTTTGGGGACACCTCTGGGCTCGAGGGTCTCGTTCTGATTTGGCACCCAAGGTTTGTGAGGGAAGTTCTTCCTCAGGGGCTCATGATGTGACAGCCCTCTCTCACAGAATCGACTTGGCTATCAGTATTCAGTTGGCTTCTTAAAAAGCACCTTACAGAACCCAATATTTAGTTAGGATTGTTGGTAATGGACTATTTTAGTTAATTTGGGATTGTTAAAGTGGAGCCATTATTCTGACATTACTGGCCTCCAGAGCATTTCTTTGGATTTTTTTTTTTGTTTGGTTTGGTTTGGTTTTTTTGGGTGTTTTTTTTTTTTTTTTTGCCTCTGGTTGGCAATTTCCTGAGGATTACTCCCAGTCCATCATTTCAGCAAACGTTTACTAAGAGTATACTTTGTGCTTGGCTGTAGGAGAATAAAAAGATGCAAAAATAAGTAAAACTCGTTTGTCTCTCCAAACGCTTTGCCATTGAATTGGCCCACCAGCATCTTCCAAAGTGACTGATTCCATTAGAGAAGTACAAGCAAACCACTGTGGGAATTAGAGTTCCTCATGCACTCAGATGGGCTTGGAGCACAGCAGCAAAGAACAACCCTAGGCTGCTTTAGCTGCCGAATATTTTGTGTTTAGTAAATTTTATTAATGGACCATCCCACAAACAAGATATGAGGAAATGGAAGCCATCTCCTAGTTGAGCCTCCCACTACTGATCTGCTTCCCTCTTCACCTCTTTTAATTCAAATCAAAGCTAGCTGAGAAACATCCCAGTTTGGCAGCATTGGGGTTGGCTGGGATATAGGCATTTCCAGCCCTGACTAGATTACCTCCTGACCTAACTGCTTTTTCAGCTTTGAGGATTTTTTTTTTTTTTTTTGCTGAACACCATTGGTTTATGAAATTCTGTTTTTAAAAAATGATTTCCTGAATCAGATTTCCTGATGAAGGCATAACCTGCAATCTGCAGTTAGCAGATGCAGTACCATTTTGAAGTATGTGATCCAAGATCATCATAAATTGATAATGAACTGTTTATCAGTATTGCTAAAGCATTTCAACTTACAGTAAAATGTGAAATAAAGCTTACATACATCAGTTTGTAATATCTAAATACATTTGTATTTAAGAGATATAGCAGAGCATCCACAGCTAACAATCAAGCTTTTTTTTTTTGCATGCTGTTATGAATGAGTGATTTTAAACATTCACCTTCATGTTTCATGTGCTTTGAACAGTGGAGACTGAGGAATATTTCTGCCTCGATTGTGTATCAATAACAAAATTATATGATTGAAGAAATGAACTTATGGATCAATGCATTCAAGCTATCCAGAAAACTTGAGAGATAGCAAGAGATTTGGCTCATGTTTTTAAAAATTCATCCTCAGTTCTTAAGTGTTTTGTTTATGTCCCTCGAGGAATGAAAAGAAAAACGATTTGTTTTTACTTGTAAGGCCTTACTCAGTTGCCCAATTCCGCAGAAGAACTGGACAGTGAGGACCTCTCAGGTAAGGGATAGTCATTAGGTAAGGCATTGCAGTGTCCAATCTGTGGACACTCTGTCCACTTCTACAAAATGGCCATTTGCTTTGCTGAGCATTCAATTGGCACGTGGATTTTGAGACTAACAAACAAAAGAGCAAATTTTTATCAACACTTTCTTCCTCCCCATTCGCCTTCCCACTTCTCTCCCTTGTGGTAGTAGTATATATAGTTGAGATTGAGGCCAGGGCTGTGAATGCAGTGGAGGTCAAGTTATCTTTGGGGTTGTACTGAAGCCACTCTGGGTTCAGTAGCTTTAAGTATTGTTTATATCCTAGATTTATAATGGCTCAGGAGAAATTTTGTTGCATTACAAAGCAATTTAAGGATGTTGGATTATGTGACAAGATCTTAAACTCATATTGACTGTCTACTGCTATGGAATAGACTGGGAAAACCCATGTCATTGTTGTATTAGAAGCACGGGATGAGGGAGAGCAAGGAGGAAGGGGGGGCAATTGTTTTGTCACACACCATGATGTAAACTAATTATCCACCTCAGACCTTTTTCACAGCACACTGAGCTCTTGCAAAAGTAGGTTTCATGCTTGATTCCAGAATTTAGGTGTTACTAACCCAGAATAAGAAGCATATCCTAAAAAGAAGGGAGAGATTTAAAGTGGTCAGAGCTAAACAATTATATGAGCTCCCAGGATGTTGTGAGACTTCACTGCCAACCAGCTACAGCTCCTTAAACATTTCCATCAGTTGCCTAGTAAGTTAGTGAGCAAGGCCCTTTCCTTGTTCTCACAGCAGGAGGCAATGAGGCATAGGATTATGGATGCTCACCCCAGCCCATTGGAAAGAAAAGTTCTGTATCGTTCTTTCCTGAAGTTTCACTGCCATTCCCTTGAATAGCTGGTTGTTGATATGCAGTCCTTAAGTCTCACTCAGTGAGAAAACAAGGAAACTGCCCTTTTTTTTCAAAGTGCAATAGATTTCTTGCCAACTGTATCCTCTCTTAAATCTCAAGGATACTTCTACTTTTGTGTTATGTACCATGTGCCATGTTAAGTTTGGCTGCTGGATTTTCCCAGATGGGAAGCTTCCAGGAAGCAACATTGGTTTCATTCACCCCTATACTGTCATCAAGCATCTAGATGATACTTGTTGGATGAATGAACAAATCCTGAATCTCAAGGAATTGAGATAAATAAAATATTAGAAAGGTAGGTAACCCATCAACATCGTGTTGTTTACCTCTTATTTATGGTGTATTTGGAGAATTTGCAAAAGCATTAACCTAATTTTCATTAAAAGTAAGAGTACATAAGTCCTTCTTCCTTCTTAAAATGTAAGTGGAAATAATGGGGCGCATGTGTTCCTGATTGCAGATGGTCTCAGTTCTGATATGGACCCTAAACAATACAGCCCTCTGACACAGTGGCCCGGGCAATTGGATCTTTTTAAGGATCCTTAGAAGAAGTCTCCTGAGTGGCCCTGATCCCCCTTGGCATAGTAGCCAGACAAGGATCACTCAGATAGGCACAAGTAATTTTTCTCCTCTTTAGACATACATGACAAAATCAGCCATCCACCCCTTCCACCAGCACCATCAATTAGGAATACGCCAGATCTCAGCCCTGCACCATGTCAAATGGGTCCCTGCTGTAGTTCTATCAATCACCCAAGTCAGGAGCAATAAACCAACAACTGTTTGTGTTCATAATAACTCAGTTAAATTAATAATTATGTTGTCCCCTCCCCCACTCCCTCTAAGAACACTGCAGTCCTATCGCTTGGGAGCCGTAAGTCATGTACAGCAGTGATGAACTAGCAGGCTGGGGCCGGGCTGCCTTTGCATCTGGTTTGATGAACTAATCAAAAACTGATTAGCACCTTTGTTCAAAGGGAATGCTGATTAATCAATTACTATTGATTGTGCGCTTGGCTTCCCTCAGCAGCAAAGAGACATCTGAAGGGAGAAAAAAAACAACCAATAAAAATTGAGCAGCTGTCATAGTGTTTAAATTTATTAAAACAAAATACATTATTTTTTATGAAGCTGTCTTGAAATGGGTCACTGAAGGGGAGCATATTGATTGAGAAAGGATGAACTTCTCAAATTTCTGTAGCCTAGAGACTGAATTCAATTATAATACAAGACAAACAGGTTAACACCCGTCTTAAACAGCCCATCAATAAATTAGAGTAGGTGTTGCACATTTAATGCTAAACTGTGGTAATGAATAATATTATCCATTCCCTGCTACACGGGGATAGAAATTCCATCCTTTTTGCATAGTTGAAAAGTATTATATATTTCCAAATAACGATGGTCTGTTTTCTCCTTGCCCCTCCGTCCCCATGCCCTGCATTCTCCAGTTCCACTTCCTTCAATTAATGACAGTTTCCTAAGCAGCATATGGTCTGTCATCGTCACCTAGCACAGCAGGTCACCCAGCTGATCTTCATTGGTAATCTGCAGTAAAAAATGACGCTTGTGTGTCATTCAGCGATTTAATTATTGGCAGACCTGGGGAGCTTATCCAGTTCTACTTTGAACACTTTCATTTACTTTTTGGGTGTTAACTTTATTGATGATGGATCCACATGAGTTTTAAATTGTTTTATCAATTACATCTGCTGTTTCCTGGTGACAGCTGGCGGTTATTGCCACCCATGTGGAATAGAGTAGCTTTAAGCATTTATTTATCCTTCAATTTTATTTTAATTATTTAAAAAATGTCTTCAGCTGCTTCCCTCCCTTCAGCAATGGAGAGGCCTTTGGGAACAGTTTGGTGGAGTAAGGCGGTAATAGTGTGCCAGAGACTGGGCCTGCGGCATAATCAAAGCCGTCCGGCCTTGTTTTATTGAAGCAAAGGTATCAAGAAATGCCGGAGCTGCTTTCATCTCTGCCCTAGGAAAGAGGTCATAATCTGGAAATATCTTACGTGTCTCACAATCCACACACACAAAAAAATATGGCCAGAGGACAGTTCTGCACAAGTTCGATCACCCTTTCGTAGGACTTCAGAAGAATCCCAGAGAACCAACCAACTGTCCCCTAAGTGGATCACAAAGAAAGCATGGGCTCAAATAGGATCTAAATTTAGAGAGTGGAAGCTCTTAGAAGCCTTTGGATCCAGGGTATCAGTCAAGGTAGAATGTATGGCCAGCTGGCTCCTGGAGCATCTCCGAAAGTCTTCACTGAATTTAAAATTTGCATAACTCAGGAGCCATAGCATTTAGGGAAGGGATCTCTTTTCTTAGTGGCCTGCACATAAAGTGTGTTCCAGATTTGGCCAACAGGCTACTTTATTTCTTTGGTAGATAAATAATAATGGCAACATAGAAAATGTCAAAAAACCAAATCAGCTCGATACATTTAAGATACGGCCCCTGACTCTATTAAAGCGGGGTATGATTTGGCTTGTGTCTGTATCATACTTCAGTTTAGAAAGCTTTTTCACACACTTGTCTCATTTAATTTTTATTCATTCAACAAAACTTGAGCTCCATGCGCTGGGCACTGGGCTGGCACCAGGAATGCAGCAGTAAACAAGACCAAATGGGAGCTGGATCAGCCCTGGATGTCACAGGTCCAGCCCTGCTCTCATATGGTGACTTTCTAATGGAGAAAATATTCGAAACACAATTTTGGACAGTGACAAATGCTATGAAAAAACAATCCTGGGTAAAGTGAAAGGGAGGCCAGGGGCAGGGAGGAATTACAGATCAGTTTAGAAAGCTCACCTAGAGGGTATGGAATTGTTGAGACAGGAAGACCTGTAAATGAGAAAGAGCCAGCTATGAGAGGGTGTCACGAATATCCTATGCAGTCATTAAGAAGGTTGTTAGTCTGCTTATAAATGAAGAACTTGGGATAGGTGATTTACTTAATACACGGTCAGATTTGAGGCTGAGTGCTCTTGCCTCCGAGGAAAACAGAAGGCTTCGGTGTAGAGTGGTCATCCTTCTCCTGTGAAGTTACTATGGGACCTTTGGGAATCTTGTTCCCCTTGACTCTTGTCATGTCAGTTGTGCATCCAGGGAATGCAGAGGGCAAATTCAGGCTCTCTGTAGCTCCTCACGTAGAGAGCCATGTATTGAATGACCTGGAAAGATTTGTGTTCCAGCATTTAAAAAAGGCTCCTTGGGCTAGGGATTTAGCTCAGTGGTTCTATCACCTGCCTCGAAAGCACAAAGTCCTGAGTTCAATCCCTGGTACCAAAAAAAATAAAATAAAATAAAATAAAAAGGCTCCTATCCCTTTAAAGAAAACTTAAACTCTGCTCTGATATGTCATACCATTGTCCCATTGATTCCCCAAAATCATCAATTAGTTTCCACTGAGGTGGTCCTAAAATGGGAAAGTGGCGAGTTAGAAAACATGTAAATTTCCCTCTTTCAGAATTCAATTTAGTGCCAGGCCACAGACTAACAGATCTCACTGGGGGCCTACCAGCTTCTCAGTGACTCCCACAACATGAGCTTGAACTTCATCCTACTGCTGATCTTTCCCATAATCCAACATGCTAACTGTTTCCACCATGGGGAGGAAGGAGACCACCAAATTGGAACTTTTCCTCCAAACTCAAAAAGAGGGAAGGCCACAATGCAAAGTGTGAATTCCAGTTCTACAGGTTGGACACTGCTTTGGGGTGACTTCACCATACTCATTAATCCATCCTCCTCACACCCCTAAATGCCTGAGGTCCGCTAAAGCATCTTTCTGTAGAGAGAAATTCTAGTGTGTTTGGAAATCCTTTACAACTCTGTCCTGATTCCTTTAAGGAAAACTCTGGTGTCATCCTCGGTGCCTTCCTAAAGCTTACAATCACACTTCTAAGTCTTTATTATTATGAGATGAATAGAGTAAAGTCAGAAGTGTGGCTTTGGTCTCTGATGATGCTAAACACCTTGAAAGGATTTACATTCTGTGGCATCAAATCATCTCCACTGTTGGCTGAATTAACTAAATCAATTGACTTGAGAAAGAAGAGACATCAATATTTTTTAAACC